GGCATCTTCACTAGGACCAGTCCATGGCTCATCCACAGCTCCCCCCAACTCTACTGCTCCTCCCGCTCTGCCCCTCTCCTAACAAGGCCTGGGGGAGGAGCATTCTCTTCCCCAGGGCAGCACATGATTATTTGCTCTGGGCCCAACGTGCCATTTGGTTCACTTTTAATTTCTTCTGAACATTATCTTTAAGTAGTTGTACCAAGGAGGTGCCATTGGACAAAGTGGTTGATGAATGCAGGGCGCCTTGATCCATGCCACACCCCTTTCAACCCTCTCACCCACCCCTCCTCCCCACCCCACTCCTCCCTCCCTTTTCTTAATTTTGTAGGATATATATACATATATATGATTTTTCGGGCAGCTAGATCTGGGTCAGCCCTTCAACATCTTCACCCCACCCCCTTTTCCGGGCACCCCTTCCCTTATTTTCCCCCAATTCTGCATTCTTGCCTGCATTCTCCTCTCCTCACCCCTTCATTCTTGTACCTCTTTCTCCCCTGGGGTCCTTCCCATTACCCCACCCCACGCAAGTACTCGTACTCCTGGTATTTGTTTTGTTGGGCTTCGACTTTGTCATTCTGAAGAATTATATATGGCGTTTAATACTGTAAAGGGATTGTCCACAGATCTTGGAAGATCTCAGAAAAGTATCTGCATTCATGTCACCTGGTCAGGAGCTCACTGAAAACCCTGGTATGAAGCCAGCGCAGAGAGGTGAAGACTCTAGCCTCAGCACACACAGCAGTGTTAAGGAGCAAGGGATGGGAACTCAGAATTTCAAGCAGAGACTCATGTAAATGGCACAATGTATATAAATGATGAAGAGTATATATGATAGTTGCTATCATAATGATATGTATATATACATATATACACATATGTATGTATGTATGTATGTATGTATATATATATATATATATATGTACACACACACACACACATATTTGTCAGTCATGGGGCTTGAACTCAGGGCCTGGGAGCTGTACCTGAGTTCTTCAGCTCAAGGCGAGTGCTCTACCACTTTGAGCCACAGCACCACTTCTGGTTTTCTGGTGGTTTATTGGAGATAGGAGTCTCATGGAATTTCCTGCCCAAGCTAGCTTTGAACCATGATCCTCAGCTCTCAGCCTCCTGAGTAGATAGGGTTACAGGCACGAGCCACCAGTGTCTGGCTCAAGGCTCTCTTTTGTTTAATTTTTGTTTTTTTCTTTTCTTTGGTTGTGGGTCTTGAACTCTGGACCTGGGAGCTGTCCCTGAGTTCTTCAGCTCAAGGCAAGTGCTCTACCACTTGAGCCACAGCGCCACTTCCAGTTTTCTGGTGGTTAAGTGGAGATAAGAGTCTCATGGACTTTTCCTGCCCAGGCTGGCTTTGAACTGGGATCCCCAGATCTCAGCCTCCTGTGTAGCTAGGATTACAGGTGTGAGCCACCTGGCGCCTGACTAATGCTCTGTTTTTGTAGCTTGTTGCATTCAAAGAAATTAAAACAGGCATCTGATTTTCAGTGACCCTTGACATGCACGGCTTCGAGTACTATACATAAAAATAGAGTAGAAAAGCTGGCTCATACCTGCTACTTGGGAGCTGAGCTCTGGAAAATTGCAGTTCCAAACCAGCCCAGGCCAACAAGTCTGTGAAACTCCATCTCCAATAAAACAGCAAAATGCCATACTGGAGGTGGGATTCAAGTGGTAGAGTGCCAGTTGTGAGCAAAGAAAGTTGAAAGAGAGAGAGAGCTCAAGGCCTAGAATTCAAATGGTGCTGTACCACTTGAGCCACAGTTCCATTTCTGGCTTTTTGGTGGTTCATTGGAGATAAGAGTCTCACAGATTTTCCAGCCCGGGCTGGCTTTGAACTGGGATCCTTAGATTTCAACCTCCTGAGTAGCTAGGATTACAGGCATGAGCCACTGTTGCCTGGCTAGTTTAATTTTTTGATTTCTTTTACAATACTGGCAACCAAGCCCCAGAGTCTTGTACTTGCTGGGCAAGTGTTCTACCATTTGAGTCATGACCCCCCAGACCCCAGAATCCTGTAATTGTGATGCACTCTTAGTTGTGAGTTCTTGCCATTATTTCTTGAGCAATTGGGGTCTTATTCCTTCAGAAATTCACTCCCCACAACCCTGGCTTGTAGTTAAACTCACCCTAGTTTTGAAGGACATTGTATTTCATTACTTGCAAATGGCAAATGAATGAAACTTGCTCTAATAAGATAATAAGATAATCACCAGAGTACAAGGAGAACAACATCAAAAGAGAAAGAGTTTAAAAGGCTGAGTGTTCTGTGTGGGGCCTTTCTATGGCTCAGGCCTCCTTTAAAGATCTCCACTATTTAAAGACACTAAGAGACATATTAACACCGGACTCAGGTGTTCCTTGAGATGGAGAGACTGAAAGAACATTGATTTAATAATAATTCAATGTATTCTATTCTGTTTTTGGTAGGGGATGGCAGGCAGTGGGGGGGGGGCTTGAACTCAAGTCCTCCTGGTTGCTAGGCAACCACTCTATCTCTTGAACCACACCCCCGGTCTTGGCTGTTGAGCATTCAATAGCTTTCCTCAGAGACCTCATTCAAAAGTTACCTAATTGTTTTGTTTTGTTTTTACCTCCCCAATACAATAGCTCAGTTTTAAGGCCAAAATAGCCATTTCCCTCTGCCTGATAATCCTTGTACATTTCCGGCCTATATTTAGACAGTACAATTTGCACAGGATTATTTTAAGCCTTTCCCCCCCACACCTCTAGTCAATCTGGACTCTGGGTGCCTGTGGCAGGGTGGGGGTAGACTTAGGGGGGTGACCAGAGTCCTCAAGAGTCACGTGACCAGAGTCTTGTGTCCACGAACGTTTGGGGAGTGGATCCCCGTGTCTGCGATTTCATGTTTTGTTTTGAGGCCGTGAGCTCCTGGACAGAAAGCAATGGAGAATGAGTTTGAGAACAGAAACACTCCCCGTCATTAGGATTTCCTGGTCTTACAGAAGTATTTGGAACCGAGGCAAATTGTTTTTAGGGCTTAGGGACCGTAACAGGGGATGAGATTTGGGTTTAGACAGATTGGATTGTGTAGTAATTTTCAGAGGAGAGCCACGTCTTCGGGGGCAGATGACTTTGACTGTTGGAATGATGGGCATGGATCATCTTCCTGGTCAGTGGATGGATCATGGGAAAAGCCTTTAGTGAGGCCCTCAGAGGTGACTTCCAATGGTGGAGGCCAGGAAGAGTCCAGGGTTAGAGATCAAAGGAGAAGCTCAAAGCTGGGTGCCGGTGGCTCACACCTGTCATCCTAGCTACTCAGGAGGCTGAGATCTGAGCATCACAGTTCAAAGCCAGCCCGGGCAGGAAAACTTGTGAGACTCTTATCTCCAATAAACCACTAGAAAACTGGAAGTGGTGCTGTGGCTCAAGTGGTAGAGTACTCCCCTTGAGCTGAAGAGCTGAGGGACAGTGCCCAGGCCCAGAGTTCAAGCCCCACGACCGACCAAAACTAATAAATAAATAAATAAATGGAAAGGCTCAGGCAGAATCGTTGAGGGAAATGAGGATAGCAAGCTTGATGAGTCACATCTTCTCTAAAATGGGTAGATTAAGAGAATTGGTGCCTCTGTGTGTGTGTGTGTGTGTGTGTGTGTGTGTGTGTGTGCACATGCAGGTGTGTGCTCAGGCCTGAGGAGTGGCAGGTGACCTAAACATAAATCCAGGCATCTCTCGGTCACTTTCTTAGTTTGGTGGTGAGGGTACTTTGAGAAGGAGGCCTGGAAAACAGGGAGCAGAGTAAGCAAAATAGGAAGCTCCCCGCCCCCCCCCATCACATCTCTTCTTTGCTCTTGGACTTGAGCAACAGAGAGAGAGAGGGCATTTATGATCAAGACCGGTTGTGAGTTCTTGGATATAAAGCTCTGCAAGGGATGCTGGGAGAAAAGCTGCCCATCAGGCTTCTATGAGGCCCTTGATGGCCCCTGTTAGCTGCTGCTCATCACCCATGGCTGGGTGCTGATGCTCACCCCTGTCATCTCAACCACTTAGGAGGCTGAGATCTGAGGATGATGGTTCAAAGCCAACTTGAGCAGAAAAAGTTCGTGAGACTCTTATCTCCAATGAGCCACCAAAAGACCCAGAAGTGGAGCTGTGGCTCAAGTAGTCGAGGACCAAAACAAAAAGCTAAGGGACAATGCTCAGGCTTTGCGTTCAAGCCTTAGGACTCCCCATTCCCCAAATGCTTCAGCCTCCAGAGTCATCATGGAGCACCGAGAACTTTCTCTTCCTGCCATACATATCTACATATAGCGTCCACCTTCCTATAGGGCCCCGGGCAGCTGGGTCAAGACCCTCCCCTGTGGGGAGCCTGAATCTCCTTTTATTCCTCTTGTCTTCATTTCTGTCTGGCCTTGTTGACTTCCATTGGCCTTCTTTCCAACAGACATAGGATACTGTGATTCTGATTTAGATGAGCAAGCTCCAAAAATGATTTGTCGGTCTACAGAAACAGCAGGTGAATTTGAGGTGGATGTTCCTTATGGAAAGCAAATGGATGTAGAACTATCTGGGGGAGAAGTAGAGAGAGGTTTTTCTTATTATTCTCCTCATGGCTTCCTTGTGGGAGAAGGCCTTACAAACTTGATGAAGGGGTGTGTTTTAAATTGCAGGTGTAGACCAGAAAAGGAAACTGAGCCCCTGATATATATATATATATTTATATATATGTATATATAGAGAGATATGTAGCTAAATGGTAGATAGTGTTTATCTCAGATCAGAAAATAAGTTTATGTGAGCTTATTTCCGTCCACCTTCCAGGCCTCCCCTCTGCCTTTGATGTGGGAAAGCAGCAATTGATTAGTAATGTCTGCCTTGGGCAGAGAAAGAGCTCATGGGACTCAGGCTGTGTTACTCAGCATCTGCCTTCGCTACTGCAGTGCCGGCTGCCTGCTTGCTCCTGTAATCTGCGAACCTATTTTTTTTTTTTCCTACGGCTCAGAAAGGCATGTTCTCTGTACCTTTAAAGTTGGGCCTGATCCTGGCATCGTATCCAGAAGTTCTGCCCATCAGCTTATCTAGGAAATCCGAAGGTGACATAGGCTTGGGTGCAGAGCGGGCAGCATCGGCTTCTTTAGAAGCAGCGAGGCTAAGGGGAAAGAGAGAGAGAGAGAGGTTAATGCAGGTCCTTCTCTGGCTCTGATCAAGTCCAGCCTCTTCTTGCCCCTGGAGATCAAGATGAGTCTTATCCCGAGGACTGGTGACAGCAAGGCCCAGGCTAAACTGTTTACCCAGCCCAAATATAATCCAGTGCCGGATCCTGGCAGCCAGCCAGTGTTTGACTGATGCCCAGAAGCGGTTGACTCTTAAGGCTTCATCATCTCCATAGCCCAGGTACTGGTGGCAATGTCTGTAATCCTAGCTATTCAAGAGGCTTGAGATCTGAGGGGGGTCTTTCCTATTCGAAGCCAGCCAGCCCCGGGGAAGAAAAGTAGGGTGAGACTCTTATCATGAAATAACTACAAAACCAACCAACCAGCCAACCAACCCAAAAAGCCAGAAGTGGAGCTGTGACTCAAGTAATGATTGAGCTCTAACTTTACATGAAAAAGCTAAATAAAGACTGCACAGGGGCTGAGTTCAAGCCCCAGGACTGGCGCGCGCACACACACACACACACACACACACACACACACACACACTTTGGACCATACACAGTGGGGAAGTTGAGGCCCAGCTAGTGTAAGGAACCAATGCAGGTCTCAAAGTATATCACTGGTCTCGACCCCTGTCATATATAAGAGTTGGACACCGGTGGCCCACGCCTGTCATCCTAGCTACTCGGGAGGCTAAGGTCTGAGGATTGTGGTTTGAGGCCAGCCTGGGCAGGAAAACCCGTGAGACTCATCGCCAGTGAACCAGCAAAAAGCCAGATGTAGAGGCATGGCTCCAGTGGTAGAGCACCAGCTTAGAGGGGAAAAGTCAAAGGAGAGTGTCCAGTTCAAGCTCCAGAAATAGCACACACACACACACACACACACACACACACACCAAGAGTTGGATGACACCAGCTATTGGAGATCACACTTGGCATGTTCCCTACTCCCTGGGGTTGGGAAATTATTTGTTTGTTTGTTTACTTACTTTTGTCAGTCCTGGGGCTCGAACTAAGGAATTGTGCACTGTCCCTGAGCTTTTTCTTTTTCTTTCTTTTTTGCTTAAGGTTAGTGCCCTACCACTTAAGCTACTGGTGGGCTGGCTTCAAATTGTGATCCTCAGATCTCAGCCTCCTGAGTAGCTAGGATTACAGGCATGAGCTACTAGCGCCTGGCCATCGTCTTTATCTGACATCGGTGGGCATGGTCTTCCTCAGACTTCAAGTTAATCTCCACACAAAGAACACCAGCGCTCCCTCCCTAAACACCCCTTCCAGATCATACTCTGCAGTAGACTCTAGGACATCAATGCAGCCAGTGGCCATAGCTGAGGGCCATCTTGTTCGCATGCCTTTCCCTCTTAGTCTTCATTCACCAGGTCCCACCAAACCACGAACCTCCTTTAAACATGTAGAGACGTGTGTTTGTGTACTGAGAGCCAGGATCAGGGTGGTTTGATGTATTTATTGTTTGCATGTTCTTACTCCTTCATTGCGCCTTCCCCTGTGTCTCAACCTTAACTGGTTGCTCAGTAAACGCCCAGGGAATGAACGAATGAATGGATCACATGCTACTTTCATTGATCAAATGTCCTGGCTGGTAAGAAGTGATCATAAATATTTATACACAGGATTCACAATTGAAAACTCATTAGATGACTACACATAGTACTAGAAATACTGATTCAATCGGGTCTTCCTTTGAAGGCTCAGAAGTTTGTGTACACATGGTAATTAGATGTTTTGTGTGTGTGTGTGTGTGTGTGTGTGTGTGTGT